ATGGGGGGAGGAAAGTGGGAAACATAGCGGAGGAAGAGAGAGGGGAGAGGAGAAGGGGGGATGAATGCACGACTTAATAAGTATCGTGCGTGCCGACTTCCATTTCCCCCCTCTGACAACACATCATTACCCTCTCCGGGCCCTCTCCCACTCCACCCCCCCAACACCTCCTCCCCCCCCCTCCCACCCCCTCTTCACCTCACCTGGGGTTATTCTTCAGCGCCTCCCTCGCCGCCCACATAGCCGGGAGGGGGTCCTCTCGCAACCGGTCCATGCCCAGGGAGTGAGGGAGGGCCACAGCGGGGGCGGGGGGCCCGGCCTGGTTGGGCTTGGGGTTAGTGCTGCCACCGGCGGGGGGGAGGCCACCGCTGCTACTGCCGCCGGGTGCTGCTACTGCCGCTCCCGGTGGGCCTTCGAGGTGTTGCTGTTGGACGTTGTTGGTTTTCTGTTGGGCGAGTACGTGGAGGGGGTGAAGGTGGATGTACGGGCAGCGGAGAGTGTTAACAATGCAGTACGAATTCCCGTACATGGTTGCAGAGCCAGGGGTTGCAATTTCCTTGCCGTACTTCACGAACATGACGTGCACGCTCTCATAGTTGTCTGCCCTGACCTGGGCCCCCACCCCCCACATGCCCCGCTCTCGCCTTCTTCTCCGCCTCCGCATCCCGGGCGAGTGCGGCGTCCAGTCCCGGCGGTTTGGTGTACATGAAGGAAACAGACTGGACCTCCCTGGAGGGGGGAAAGGGGGTTTGGAGGGGAGGGGGGGGGGAGGATAGGGTGCCTGTGTATGTGTATTTCGGAATAGGGTTGGGGTTGGGGTGAAAGGAGCGGGAAGGGCGGAGGAGGCGTGTGGCGCTGCTTCGGTGGTGGTGGCCAACCCGGCAGTGCGGCGGCTGGGCACAGGGGAGTACCCCCCGGGCAGGTGTCACAGCAACCCCGGTCTCCATCCCCTACATGCCCCCTGCACACGTGCATACATAGGCAGGCGGCTGGCAGAGGTTAAGGCCTAACTTCTGCTCCCGGAGCGTCCTTGTTCAAATCCACCTGCCAACTCCTCGGGTGTTTGAGGAGTGTTGAAATGGGGAGGTGGCCCCCCATCTTATGGACGGTGTAGGACGTGATAAAATCAACTTGCGAGCTGACCAGGAACTAAGTTGAGGCGCCGTTGATCCGCTAGATTTGGTTGGATGCTGGTGGTAAGTTGCTGAATCCAACGAATACATTCTGAAGTCGGATGGGGTGAACGGATTAGGGTGCTCCTCTCGCAGGGGAGAGCAGGGAACTGCCTCGGGAAAGGGCCCCGCTGGTGAAGCTATACCACCCTGTAACAACATACACACGTACATACATACGCACCTGTAACGCTGCTGCTCCGCGGCACTCAGGTACGACAAAGTCTTGAGGTACTCCTGTTCAGCATCGAACTCCGCCTGGGACGGGTGATGAGGGGTGGGGCCGTGTGTGTGTATGTGTGTGTGTGCGAAGGGGTTTCATCCATCAGCCCTCCGCACAGCTCATGCAGCCCTCTTCCCCCCCTTTCCCTCGGGGCCCCACCTGCGCCTTCTCCTTGGCCTTATCCGCCGCATCCTTGTCCTGTTGGGCCTCCCACACCCGGATGCGGTTCCTGAGTGGTACGACCCGGAGGGGGAGCCACCCGGTTGAGCGGTTCCGTTCAATTCTTGATGCGCGCCCATCCCGGAGCCCCTCCCGCCCCTCCCCCCCCTCCACCCTAAGGACAGTACAGCTGTCAGACAGACAGACAGACACTGCGAGGGCGGTCACCTCCCAAGGGGAGTTGGATGGCCCACCTACTTGAAGTTCATGGGGTGGCCAGGGCTGCGGGGAACACAGGGGCCCAGCAGGGGGAGGGGGAGGGGGAGGGGAGGGGGAGGGGAGGGGGAGGGGAGGGGAGGGGGAGGGGAGGGGAGGGGGAGACTTTGTCACTGCGCAATGGGGGACAGGGCGGGCGGGAGGGGAGGGCCCCTCAGCTCGAAGGGTTGGGGGCGGGCCCGGGTACGAAATCAGGAGCGGTGGTGCAGTACTCCATCTCCCCACCCCGTGCTACCTCACAGCGGTACGGCAAATGGTACGGCAGTGGTACGGCAACACACAATGGCAGTATGAATTAGCCGCAGCCACACAGCACTTGTTTTTATTTTGCTGCCCATAGCTAGACGCCCGATCCGTCGCGCCTCAACCCTCACCAGCCGCTTTGCCTCTAGAAACCCCGGGTGTCTGTCTGTCTATCTGTATGTGCGTGTGTGTCACACCTTTTGGTTAAGGAAGTGGTGTGTCCAGGCCATTCCCACCCCGTTCGGGTTCTTGGGGTCGAACCCGTCCTTGGCCCTCTCCAGGTCCGCCCGAACACCTGTGCGCGCGTATGCATGTATGTATGCATGTATGTATGTATGTGTGTATGTGTGTATGTATGTATGTATGTATGTATGTATGTATGTATGTATGTGTGTATGTATGTATGTATGTATGTATGTATGTATGTATGTATGTGTGTGTGTGCGGAGAGGGGGGACACATCCCAGAGGGAAAAGGGGGTTTAGGGGGAACCCAGGAAGAGGAAGCGGGAGGGCGAGAGGGACAGGGGCACCCGGGCCGCTGACCAGAGGGCAGTGACCGGACGTGAGCCAGTCGGTCAAGGGGGGGCTGGGAAATGAAACTGGAAGGGTGGTGGGTGGTGAGCGGTGAGGCGGCTTGCTCAGGTGATGCCTTGGCGGGATGTGTGCGGGCTAGCAGCACCAGCACCCGCAATAGTAGCAGTAGCAACAGCACCGGTAGGGGGAGAGTGGAGGGTGATGCAAAGTGCGTAGACAGGGTTTTAGGAGGGAAGGGAGGTGCACTGGGGGCCCCTAACGGGGTCTGCAACTGCTGGGATGGCCGGAGCCCAAAGCGATGCCGAGCGGGACAAGTGGCGAGCAGTGCCAGTATTGGTCAGAGAGGCAGCATGGCGAGGCGGTGAGGGGTTGCGTCAGCTGGGCGGATAGACATGTGGGAGGGAGGAAATGGGAGGAAAGAGGACGTGCCTGCAACGGCGCCGCGCGCTGGCGGGGCGGGCCCCTTGGGGCCGCGCCCGAAGATGGCATCCATGGCCGCGACCAAGTCAACGCCTCCTCCCTTCTAGCGCCACATAGCACGGTCCTTGGTTTGCAGAGTTCGCGAGGCAAGGGAAATGACGACGCCGATGAAGCTACTGCGATTTCGTATGATTTAAATACGGCTAGATGTCAACACAAATTGAGGAGCCTTTTGGTTGAGCGTTTTTTTATTTAGCGCAGGATTGTGTAGAACCGAGTTCTGAGGAATTCATTGTGGTGAGCCCACAATAACTCTATCATCTAGTATAAAGAAAATCCTTTCAATTTTTAAATCACATCAAAGCGAACTACCGAGCACAACGGTGTCGCAAGACGCTCTTTGTTTGAGACACTTATGAGTCACAGTTGATCGTTAAGGGTTGCACCCGTTCGGGGTGTTGACTGATCAGTTATGACCAAAAGCAACGTGGCCACATTTTCAAACCCGCATGTTCCAGTATGTGAAGGACTTCCGCAGGTAGATGGCTCCCACTGTAGATTACACGAGAATGGTTGGGATCTGTTGCGATGCCGTAATGCCCACAATTCATGCGGCACACATCTGACTCCGCGACATTCCGCGATTTGCCCTGCCCGGCAGTCCTTATTAGTCCATGACCTGCGGATTGTGGATGCGGAGATCATACGCTCTCCCTGACCTCCCATCCGGGCCAGAGCAGGTTCTAGGTTGTGAACGATCAAGGTGCAGTCAGTCAGCTGCACATACGCATACGCGAAACCTTTACTGTGAACCTCGACCTCTCCCGGACCAATTTTCTCTTTAAAATGCGGCGCTATCCGAGGTCCTACTACAGACAGCTATGGACACTGTAGACCTGACCCTGTGTAGATACTCGTGCTGTGCTCGTCCATCACCCCCCGCTGGTCAAGGCCTTCCGCAGCTGTTTGCGTGGTTGGCGAGGGCAGCTGGTCAGGGCAGCTGGTCAGGGGACTGAGGGCCCATGGGAGCCTAAGCTTAAGATCAACTGCACGTTGTCCCACTGCTTAACTGCTGCAAGGTGGCATCCACCCTAGCAACGCATGGCCCACCCCACCCCACCCCACCCCACCTGCCGGGGTTGGGGTGGGGTTTTAGGGTTTTGAGAGGATGGGGACACGCGGTGCTGCCGGTTACATGCGGGGCCGTTCTCGTGACTGATCAAGGAGGTCACGTCCTGGGTCTTAGGTGCGTGTGTGTGTGTGTGTTTATTCACACACAGCTTCCGACAGTTCCTCCTCTGCGACTACCAAGTCCCGGAAACGGCGACCAGCGCTCTCTGGCCACAACTAGCCGCTACCGCACTCAGATGTAAACTCGCAAGGGTGGGCGGGTGGGTGAGGGAACGTAGGCCGAACAGTTGGCCCACACCGCGCCATTTCCTAGCTACCTGCTAGCTACCTGCTTGCAGCAGACTACCAACTTTTTAACCAACCCAGCCAACCAGGGCTGACTTCCACAATCCTCGCAACCAATCACCCTGTACCTCATCCCTCCGATCCTTGGCGGGAACACCCTCTCTCCCCCCAGTCGGAGGTTTCCCCTGCGCCCCCCGGGAAAGCGACTCCTGCACTAGGAAGGAAGTACCACTGGAATGGAGATTCGAAATTCGAATGGCGGGGAAATGGAAACCGACCCGCCAGCACCGCGTGTGTGTATGTATGTATGAATGTATTGTCCGCATAAGCCGGGACCCCCCTGTTCCTCTGGACATCGCCCCAGCCCCTCCACGCCCTGCCCCCCACGTCCACCTCCCTCCCGCCCCCCTCTCCCTAGTCATGGCCGTAGCGCATGTGGCCCTCCGGCCCGCCTCGCAGGAGCGCTGAGGAGGAGGCGCCCTCGTCACCGCGGCCCGCACCGCCGATACCAGGGTGGTTGCGGTCGTAACGGTCATGGCGCTCCTTGTCGTACTGCATGTGCTTCACCTACCGAGGGCGTGGGGGTGAGAAGAGGATGGTGAACAGGGGCCGTACGGCGTGTTTTGTACGGTAGCGGTGATGCCCTTAACACCTGGCTAACTCAGTGGTGGTAATCGGAAGCGAAGGTCGAGGGGGAGGCCAGCAGGGCCCCCTGTCGGCAGCAACGGGTGCCCACGTCTTAAAGCGACTTGGCCACCGAGCCGGGTCGTATTCACTGTGACCGACACACAATTAGCACACCAACCGTCGCATCAACAGATATACGGAACCCACCACCCTCTTCCGGCGGCCTTCCATGATGGGGGTGGTGTGAGTGGGCGGGATTGAGGGAGCGAAGGGCCCGACGTGATGGCCAGGAAGCGGAGAAATGCCCCCCCTCCCTCGTCCCCCCTGGCCCCAGCTCCCCTCGCGACTCGGGGGTAAAGCCCCGCGCCCCAATTGCCCCAACATACGCCCTAATGCCCCCGAGCACTGTTATGTCAGGACTACAACTGCCACTGAGAAGTACCGATATGCAGATGCTGATCCCGTGATATGCCCAGAACACAACAAGTACACCACCCACCTCCCGCATGTGGTCCTGAAGTGCCGTACGGTCATGTGGGCGCCGTCGAGTGGCAGGGATTGGCGGTTGACGGTTGGCATGACGGTAGACGTGGCGGCAGTGGAGGTTGGAGCAGAAGACCACCCAGACGCCAACGTAACAGACATCGTACAATTGTAACATGGTTTCAGCAGGTGGTTGGGCCGGCACAGGAGTAGGCAGGTGGTTTTTGCGGGGGTATGCCCTTGGGTGTGGTGGTAGTGGGGGTCGTCACCGCTACCTCCGGAGGTACCGGTCCATCGCACATTAACCTCTCTGCGGCACACGCTCCCCCCCCCAACCCCCCCAACCCCCACACCCGTCCACACGGCCCCACGCATCCCTATATAAAGCAAGACAACAATAAGCACCCCGACAACAGGGGAGGGGGCAGAGGAGGCGGCGGCGGCGGAGGGAAAGCAACGCAGGCAGGGGTGCACGTGCTGGCTGACCAGGCCCTAGTATCTGCTGCTGCCCTAGGTGGTGGTGGTAGTGGTGGTGGTGGTGGTGTTCATGCGGGTGAGAGTTCGTCCGAAAACATAGTCCCAGGCCGCTAGATCCAGCAGGGTGAGGTCCTGGAGGGGCCGCGACCCCACCCCACCCCACCCCACGCGACGATGTGCAGCAAGCAATACACCTGGGGTTGGGGTTTACGGGGTTGGGGTTGCACACCGGGGCCTCTCCCGGGGCCCTGAGGTGTGTGGAGGAGGTTTGCTGACAGGGGCAGGGGCACAGCCCTTCCCCCGCAGGCGGGCCTTACATCTCAGCAATACCACCTTTCCAGAAGCATCGATCACCATCCCCGGCACCGGGGCTTCGGTCGGCCACACGCCCCGCCCGCACCCCAAGTGATCCGCCGCACCACATCCCCTCCCCCCCGTCACCCTTCAGCCCTTCCGGCCCTCCAGTGGCCGCTCAGCCTTTAGTCTACCAATGACTCTCAGCCGCACACCCCTACCACAACGACAAACTCAAGTACAAACACACAATTACCAATCAAGTGCAAGCTCACGTCCACACACACCCCACCGCTCTCCGGTATCTCCCTGACGGCCGTATCGGGTGAAACAACACAGTCGCGCGGCTCGGGGCGGGAACTCCCACTGAGGCCTGCCTGCTTGCATTTGTTCGTCAGGCCACCCAACACCGCCCCGCAACAGACCAGCTGAGCCACCCACCTTGAGCTCCTCCTTGCTCATCCCCTCTGCGCCAACCGGGTGCTCTTGGGGCCGGAGCTGCTGGGGCTCCTCGTGCACCAGCCGGTTGCGGATGGCGCGAGGAACGTCATGGCCAAACTCAACACCAGGGGGAGAAATCCCCGCGGGTGCCTGGAAACGGAGAAAGGGCGCAGCAACAGCAACAGGATGGCAGAATAGAAACTGGCAGGAGGTCCCCTTTTCGACGTTATCCAACAATGGTGTCGGTGTCTGGCGGCGCATGGCGCCGCAATATTTGCATGGGAAAAACGGCGTAGGACCCAGACAGCTAAACTCTTTCAACAAATTCATAATTTAGCATAGAAGGATTTATGATATCCGAGGAGGCATTCGGTGGTGCAAAGGAACGGTGATATTGCGCGCGGCTGTTGACCCACGGGACATTCGAGCAAAATTTGTTTATCCAGCTGCTGGGCTAGTGGATAGAGAAGATAAATCGGGTTACAGCAGCAATCCGCATTCTTCCGGAAGGGGACGACCTAAAGGTGACATCCTTACCGTCATATCGTCGCTTTGTTGGATGGCGTCAACGAGCTCCTGCGGGGGCTTGAGCTCCTTGGTCGGCGCCTGCACGACCACCGTCAGGAGGGAGGCGCGATATTGAACCCTAATACCATTACGAAATTGAAAGGGCGAAGAAGTTGGCAAGATGCTTTGGGAGCGTCAGGCGGGGTTCCCCGTCTGGGAGCCGCGTGCGATGCGCGCTATGCGCGTCATATCTCACCAGCTTACCATGTTTTAGAAACACAAACCCAAATGTCTTTCTCAAAGTATGGAGAGTAAATAAGTACAAGACGGAGGCTCGCTGCATCGCGGAGCATAAATCTCGTGCTTGGTTCTGTCCGTTGCTGTCCGTACCATACGTCAACTGCACGCACGTCATCAGGCGGGAAATTGACCATGGCGGCAAAATGCGCCTACAAGAGACATTTCACTCAATATTTTCTTACTTTGTCGGAGAGCACAGCTGCCCACTCAATCGTGATTATTCAAATACTTTTTCTCGTTACTGTATGATATCGTTGGTACACGCCTTGCCGATAGCTTAAAAGTTCATAAGGTGAAATGTCCGAGGCTGCTGCAGACACGGGCGCTGAAGTTGCCGTGCTTGATATCGAAGCTGCGGCAGCGAAATTGAAGCAGGGCAAGGACCTTATTGATGATGACCCAGAGAAGGCTGTAGAACTGCTCTGCGCGGCCGTGCGCTCTTACGAAAAACATTTCGGAGCTGAGGCAATCGAATGCGCGCCAGTTTACATGTACTACGGGATTGCGCTTTACGAAGTTGCAAGAAGCGCCACAGACGCGTTGGGCACCACCAAGACCACCGTCGAGCCTATTTCTGACCAGAAGGCCGACCAAACTGCAGCCTTGCCCAAACCTGCCGCTACTGCTGATGAGGCTGGGGACAAGAGCAGCGTGCCTGGTAAGGCCACAGGCTCTTGCGAGAGTGATTATAAAAATAAAAGCTTTGCCAACATAAAGATAGGATCACCCCTGCAGCTGGAAGGAAATCTCACCTTTCCCTTTTGTAACCACCCGTACTCAATGCAACCCATCAGCGACGGGATCATCTGTGGGGTTATCTCATCTTTCCTTCATTAGTCCCACTCCCCTCACCAGGAGATGGCAAAAGCGACGCTACGGCAGGCCCATCGGAGCCCTCAGCCCTAGACGACCAAAAGGCCGTAGAGCCTAATGATGCAGCTGGTTCCGATGATAAGAAGAACACTGGCGAAGATGGGGACAAGGCTGCCGAGGATGGGCCCGCGGAGGGTGGCGATGGCGACGGCGAGGAGATGGAGGAGGAGGCTGACGGCGCCGAGCAAGGGGAGGAGGAGGAGGGCGGTGATGCGAAGGCCGAAGATGACCCAGATGCTGATGACATGAAGCTAGCGTGGGACATGCTGGAGGTGGCTCGTGTAATTTACAGCAAGCAGTCCCATCCGGAGGAGCACCGCGACCGGCTGGCTGAGGTGCACAAGGCACTGGGAGACATAAAGAGCGAGCAGGAGCGGTTTGAAGAAGCGGGTGCGTGGCTGAGGGCTTGGGATGCGCCAGGAACCAGTGTGAGCGACTGCGTGTTGGCTTTGGGGCTGTCCTAGGGCGTTCGGCTGCGGCTGACCATGTGCGAGATGTGGGCGAGGATTAATCTAGTTTTGGTTCCTGCGGCTGGTGGCGTCAGTGCAGTTGGCGTGCAGCAGCGCATGCGCATGACAGCCCTTAGTCTCTGCGCATGTGTAGCATGCATGCGGCTTTTAGCGTTCAGTGGATCCGTACGGCGTTCGGCCATCCAACTCTTCCCCGCTAAAAGTGCCCACTTGAGCCCTGCACCATCCCGTTCCGACCTGACGCCGCCCATGTGCGTTACCCATCTCTTCCCCTCCCTCCCCCCTTCGTCGCATATGATTTCCCCCCTCGTCCCGATGGAGATGCTTCCTTGCATGGCAGTTTAATCATTTAGCCCTCACCCCAATGATGATCTCCCAAACCCGCACCCGTTACAACCCCTTTGTCCCTGCAGTCGACTGCTACAAGCAGAGTCTGCAGCACCTGGAGGCCATGCAGACCCGCAACAACCGCCGCCTGGCGGAGGTGCAGTACAAACTGTCTGTCGTACTGACGTACCTGGAGCAGCACGAGGAGGCTCTGGCAGTTACGCAGGCGGCCCTGAATTCCCTGGAAGCGGCTGTAGCGGAAACGGAGGAGAAGTTGTGTGCACTGCCCACGGATGGGTCGGGTGGTGAGGCAGCGGATGAGGAGGGGCGGCGGTTGCAGGCCGTGTCGGATGACTTGCGGTCGGTGATTGGAGAGCTGCACTGGAACATCAACGGCCTCAAGGAAACCATTGCCAACGATAACTCGCTCAAGGAGGCGCTCAGGTGGGGGCAGGGGAGACGAGGAAAGAGGGGTGGCGGAGTTTTGCGAAGCAGTGCTGATCGGGTTCTTGTGGTGGCTGGAGCTGTGCGTCATGTCTTGGTTGGTGGGACATGGGACGCTGACATGGGAAACTGACGACGTCGTTTGGGGATCGACTGCAGCTTAGGGTCGATTGCGGATTTGAAAGCTTGTCTGAATGAGGTGTGTAGGGGCGGTTGGGGCCATGTGCACAGTGCCCATTTCCCAAGGCCGTTGGGAAGGTTCAAGCACTGCAAAACAGAGGATGTGGCACCGCCCTGCCTTTGCGTAACATCCCTCGCTGGGTGTGTATGTAACAGCGCCACCATATTACCCCCCTTTGCAAACCTTGAAGGCAAGCCTTCCTCAAGGCGAATGGCGGCAGCGGCTCGGACGCTGCTGCTGGTCTGACGGCCGCACTGGCTGCGGGGGTAGCCACATCGAGCTCCTTCGCTGCGCCCTCCAAACCTGGGCCAACTGGCCAGCCTGTCTCACTAGGCACTGTAGGGCGAGGCAGCAAGCGCATCACGCTGCAGCCCACCAGCACGACGGCGGCCAATGGCACTGCGGCTCCAGCTGCGGTCCCTATCTCCGCACCCAAGCGGACACTGGATGATCTCATGGGTGGGGAACCGGCAGCTGGGGGATTGACCTCCACTGGCTTTGAGGCTGTGGCGGTGGTGGAGGCGCGGGAGGAGGGACAGCCGCAGGCGGCCAAGAAGGCGCGGGTGGAGGAGGCGGAGGCAGCGATGGAGGCGGCGGAGTCATAGATAGGGTGATCGCCCGGGCGTTTCTCGAGGGGACGGTTCGGGGGTCCAGTGCGGGGAGGGTTTCTGGCTTTCTGAGTGCGGTTGCCCACCTGGCGACACATGCAGGCTTTGTTCAAACGTGTGTTTAGCGGCCGGATGTAGTATAAGGAAATTCGATGCAGCCTTTGTTCTTTCAGAGTCAAGTGCAGCAGGAAGCACAGGCTTGGACGCGTGTGAGGGCTATTCCAAAATGTAGCTGGAGCATTCACGCGCCGTAGTACACCAAGGAAAGTGACTTACAAGCTGAAATGGATTTTAGATAGGACTCGGATAGTGACGATGGTGGAATGAATTACTTATAGATGCGCAGGCGGCGGGGTTGCGACGTGTTATCTAAGATTAGCTGATGTTTACGTACATGTGAGCAGGAGCCAACAAAAAAGGCATACAAGGTGAATCCGCGTCCTGCTTGCCGTCGTTTTTATCAAGGGACAGGGATTTCAGCGGGAGCTTGTCAATGCAAGGAGGATTCAGGGGCCCACAAGGTCTGCACTACTGCGGAGCTTACCGACGATGTCACCTGAGGGATGGTTACAGGATGCTCGCAAAACGTTTCCGTCCTGAAAACAAATCGTATGCCGCTTTGTCAAATCAACGCAACAGTAAAACATCCCGAGCCCAAACTGCGCCCGACAAGTACAACTCCAGTAGGAAAACAGCGGTAGTCTTACACTTTTTAGGCGTTCATGCTGCCATGCCATCGCGTACAACTTCCTACAGCCATGTTGTGCCAAAAGGCATCGCCCTTAGTCTCCTATCTTTCAGATCCGCCTATGTGTCCGGATAGTCAAGGGCCTGACTGCCGTGCTTCCTCAATTCCACACCGGCTCGCGGCCGCTTCCTGCGGCTTATCTGGTGGCCAGAGCGCCGCGCCTCTGGAAAAAAGCACGCCGCGAAAGGTCACCACCCTAAGCTATCTTATGCCCCGCGCTGGCAATTGATTCCCTAAGTCCGTGCCTACGTGCAGCACGCGAGCGGCTGCACCAACCAAGCCACTAGAAAAGTGAGTAAGAAAATTAAAAACAAATGACTCGATGAACACCACAACACAAGGACCGAATCACTTGTGCAACATCGCCCGGCAGGATCCTTTACAGGAGTATGGCCCTGCACCGTTAAAAGGCCGCTCACCCTACCACAAGCTCCCGTACAGCCTTATTCATGTGGTCATATAGCACCCGCCTGGTGGGCCCTCCGCTCCGTGGCCAGCCCCTCTCTACTGCCGCACAGAGGTCCCCAACCAGCTCCTCCGCCGAGCAGTGCGAGGGTGTACGGCGGAGTAGCGCCTCACACTCCTCTGCCAGCTGCGGGGAGGAGGCGAACAGGTAGCGCATTACAACCTTAAGACGACCAAATGCACGACTCGCTGCATCAGCTTCACTGGAGGTGCCAGAAGAGGCGGCTTCACAGCCAGCGGCTGCGGCGGCCGCTGCTGCTGCCTCCAGTGATGGGGTCACCGATCCCCCATACCCTCCTCCGCTCTTGTCCTGTCCCGCGATTGTCCGTACTGTCCGTGTCGACATGACATGGCTGGCGTAGGTTCGGAGAAAGTTTTGCACCAGCTCTGGTTCGCGGCCCTGCCACCAGCCGCAGCCTCCGGAAGGGCTGGCAGCAGCGGAGGATGCCGCCAACGGCGCCGCTGCAGGCGGAAGGGGCCCCATCGCGGCGGGCTCCTCGCCGAAGCTGTGTCGGATGCGATGGAAGATGAGCGGGTCGTGCACTGCGCCGCGCCCGATCATGAGGCCGTGGCAACCCGTCTCCCGCAGCAGCTGGTGGGCTCGCTCTACAGAGACCACGTCGCCGTTGCCAACCTGCATGAGGAAGGAGGCGAAGTGAACGTGTAACAGGGCTGAGAGGTGCGCTTGAAAAGGAACTTGGGCCCGGGAGGAGGGGGGGGGGCTGTCGTAGGGAAAGGGGAAGGGGGCGACAGATGTCTAAGGTTGAGTAGATTCATCCCCATGTCCAAATCCGCCCGGGTAACAAGCACCGGTACATCCGCGGAGATGCACGACGTCGATGCCCCTGCGGCCGTTGCCACGCACTAGCCCCTTCCCTTCTCTTTACTTTCACTCCCTATCCCAAAGCCCAGTCCATACCAGCCGCCGCATTCCCAGTTCCCCACTAACACACCAGTTTCCCACCGTCCTCACCACAGGTATTTCCAGCAGCTCCACCGCCCGGGCTATGAGGCCCCACTCGGCAGCCCCCGAGTAGGCCTGCCTCCGGGTGCGGGGGTGCAGAGTCACGAAGGCTGCACCCGCCTCCTGCGGCGTGCGTATGTATGTATATATGTGTTGTATGTGTGTGTATGTATGTATGTATGTATGTATGGCTTACATTACACTGTTGGCTGCCAGGGGCCGAAGCCTAAACACAGCGCAAGGGTCGGGAGTATGTATGTATGTATGTGGTAGCAGACGGAGGGACGGAGGAAATACCGGTGAAGGGTTGAGGGTGAAGCCGGAAGCCAACGGGGCTGACGGCGGGAGCAGCGGGGAACCCACGGTGCAGTGTGGGGAATGGTGAGGAAGCAGGAGGCTGCAAGGAAGGGGGGAGGACGGGGAGCAGCAGCCCAGCGCTCGAATCACAGCCCAGACAACCCATACAGATTGACCTGTTGACGTCGACCAACCCTCCGGGTCCCGTGCCGCCCTACCTCCCCCCCCGCCCGCTCCGCTCACCTGCGCCGCGAGCAGGTTGTCTTCCAGGAGAGACGTGTCGTCGAAGCCAGCTCGGAGTTTGACCGACACGGGCGCCGCACCGTCCACCTGGCGCACCATCTCTGCCACTACCTGCCCCAGCAGGTGGGGCGTCCTCAACAGGGAGCTACCCGCCCCTCTGCCGGTGACGGTGTTGGCGGGGCAGCCGCAGTTCAGGTCCACCCGGGGGGCACCACGGACCTGCGGGCGGGGGGGGGGCTAGGGGGTGAGGAGCAATACGAAGCTGTGCAGGGGGGAGACAATCCCTGAGCCGGCTCACATTAGGGGGTGAGGCAAGGGGGATACAGAACGGAGTTTCAGCCCGAGACGGTCAGCATACTGAGTGGCCCAGTAGCCTGGGGCAGTGTGTTTTTGATTGAACGTGTCAGTGCGTCGGGGTGAATGCACTGCAGGAGAGCCAGCATCCATGGTGGACCACACCCATCAGGATTGGATGACGCAACCAGCATAGGCAGCACCCACCCAACCACCCGCACCAACACTTCGCGGCTGGCCCATCCCCGACGCTCCCATTCGCCCTCACCAAACTTCCCGCCGCGGCATGCTGACACCAGCAACGGTGGACACACACACACACACACACACACACACCACGCTGCCAAACCACAAAGTATCCCCATCATTCCCAAATCGCTGTACTACTCATCGGCCGAACCTCCAGGTCCTAATGCTTACTAGCGCACACACAAGCTCCGTTAGCCATCGGCAGCCGAAAGGGCATTCAGGCAATTCATCCACACACCATACGCACCTCACCCCCATCCTCAATTCCATGGGGAGATCCATTCCAGGACCTAAACCCTCATTCCACCATCGGCACATCGGCAAATCTTACGACATTGCTCGTCACCTCCTTGGATGGCCCCCATCACTTACCTACCTGCACCAGGTACTTGGCCGCCAAGCCCATGAGCTCGGGATTGCTTCCCATGATCTGGACCCCCAGCGGCACCTGCCCCAGCTCCCCAGCCTCGTACCAGCAGGAGACGCCCCGGATGGAGCCAAGCGGATTCTCGCTGCGGCCGGGGATGCGGATGAACTCTGGGGGGCCAGGCGCGATGTCATGTGTAAGCGTATGTGTGCTTATGCGTGATGCGTCTCGGCAGCAACACAAGCCCACCGCGCCCGCATGCGGATATGCAGACCGACCTAAGTAAGGGGGTTCTTTGCCATGGAGGCCCATGTGCGTATGTATGTATGCATGTATGTATGCATGCAAGTGTGCGTTGTGCTTATTGTGGTCACTGTGTGTTTTTGGTAGGCCGTTTATGGCGGCCCGGCTACCGGAGGGAAGGGGCAGAACACGGATTATGGATGAACAGCACAGGAAGCGACTTCGGGCCCAGCTGAGATTAACCATGGCCAAGTGGCTGCAAAGGCGGCGCGGCGGGATATGTAATCCAAAAACTCTTTATTCCGCAAGCCTTAGGCGCCAACCATTTCTGCAGCTACCCCTGTCTAGAACTTCATCCTCACATACCTGTGCACGCTTCATCGAATCCGCCGATTACTGCAAGGAACGCACGCCGAAAAGCCCTATCGGCCAGGTTCTCCATCGGTGCCAGGAACAGCATTGGACAAACACGATGATCGTACTTGTACTGTATCAAGCGGCTGACATAATCTATGGGTAGTCGCAAAGGAGTGCCGACCTTCGCCCCAGCCAAGACGCGTGCTGTAGGAAAAACATTGGCCCCTGTGCTTCCATGTAGCCTGGACAATCCAAAATGCACAAGTCCTGTGTGCTGAGAGCCCTCCTTTCCAGATGTTCGGCCTTCTGCACGTTCCCCTTTCAAACTGCACCGTCCGAAAAGCGACAAGGAGAGCATGCAGGCTAATTATCTCTAACCGCTTAAGGAGAAGGGGGCTTTATCTTCTAGGTATCTCAATTAAAAAGATATATACTTAGTGTCAAGGGTTTATAAATGACTTTCACAGAAAAAACAAGTTTGTATTCCTTCTTATTTATGTATCGTCCTGGCTGGCAGGCCCTCCGATCAGCTTCGCATGCGCAAGGCCAGAGCATGCAGCATCCCTTCGATCGGATGTGTTGCTACAACAGGTTGCTACGCGCGTACTTGTTGCCTTCCTTCGGTCCTAAACGGCCTCCGGTTCGGCGCTGTCGCCATTTTGCGGTCCAGCAGAGCTTGGACCTTGTGTTCACCGGCCCTGTCCGGGATGGAATGCCCTTTGCCGTCCTAAGCAGCGTGACCCATTATATCAGCTTGCTTCCTAGCAAGGACAACAGCTACTGTCCTCCCGTCCTACGGTACTGGTAATGAGTAAAGGCCGAACAGCTAGGGTCAAACATGGAGAGACCACTTTTGGCGCCTAAAGAATGCTTTGCAGTGCGTATCGAAATCCATGTTCAGCGTGCACGTCACAGCATTTATACAGTCGCCACTGAGTTATCCCTGCATCACAAACTTGTATGAAACTTGCAAGCAGGTGTAGCAAATCATTCATGCCAATCTGTGCAGGTGCAGATAGCTGTTAAGCGCATGTGTTGCAGGTGTGCCATGTCTGTATCCTGCGATCTCTGTTAGGTAAGCGCCCTGTCCCACGGACAGGACAGGGATACGGCGTGCGTACGGCATCAAGATTTGCTTGCAAAACAAAAGCGCTGGTTGCCTATGCTTTCAGTATCAGTTCTCTCCTTTGTGCAGCAGAGTCTGATCACCTTACGAACATCTAAAATGGCTTTCGCTCTCGCCACCTCGCGCGAGGCTCTGCAGGTCGCATGCAAGGCGACCGGCAAGAAGGCCGCTGCTAAGGTCCGTTTTATTTCGACACCATTTATTTTATCAGCGTACCTTACATAGACGCACATACGTATTTGCAGTGTCCTCTGGCTAACCAGAGACGTTTGTCCCGTTCGCAACATCTTTACAGCCGGCTGCCCCCAAGAGCTCTGGTATCGAGTGGTATGGCCCGAACCGCGCTAAGTGGCTCGGTAGGTTATCCTGGAGATCCGAGGAGATCCGATATGCAGCGGGTGTAGCGCGTATCGGAGGGCCGGAATAATCGGTCGGTCTCGTGCATGGTCCTCCTTTCGGCGCAACATGCCGCAGCGTCAGGTTTCTGTGCGCAGGCTGCTCTCTCGGTCCTTTGCTGACATCGCGCGATGCATGCTGCGATGAAGGGCACAGGTTGCGTCTTTCCCCCTTTCGCGACCTGCCGTTCAGTAGCCCGCTGCCGCCGTATGTCCGCTTTCCCCTTCTGTGCCCACATCGGACAGGCCCCTACAGCGAGAATGCCACCCCTGCCTACCTGACTGGCGAGTTCCCCGGTGACTACGGCTGGGACACTGCCGGCCTGTCCGCTGACCCGGAGACGTTCAAGCGCTACCGCGAGCTGGAGCTGATCCATGCGCGCTGGGCCATGCTTGGCGCTCTGGGCTGCCTGACCCCCGAGCTGCTGTCCAAGAACGGCGTGCAGTTCGGTGAGGCTGTGTGGTTCAAGGCCGGCGCTCAGATCTTCCAGGAGGGCGGCCTGGACTACCTGGGCAACCCGTCGCTGGTGCACGCTCAGAACATCGTCGCGACGCTGGCGTGTCAGGTGGGCGGGAGGGACGTGGCTGCATGCTTAGGAATGTGTCCGGTCGCCTTACTTGTTAGCTGGCTAGGTGAAACAAGTGGGGCGCGGCAACTGTGCTGCCA